AGGCATTAAGCATTCAATCTGGGAAATGGGGTTCCAGAGAGACACCTTCAGAAGAGGGGCTCCTGAGTCACTGTGAGATCAGGCTTTGCTGGAGAAAACAGTGACAACAGAGCTAGACATGGAACAGAGCACTCCTAAAGAAGACAGACAGGGGGGGACTTTACCAGAAAGGACAGCTTAGAGGTGATTAAGGTGTTTTGGGGGTGTGTGTATGCGTGTGTGATCTCTCTCTTCCTCCCCTTTCTCCCTCCCTTTCTCTCTCTCTCCCCTCCCTTTCTCTCTGGCTGATCCTGGAGCTGAGGGTTTTTTTGGGTGTATGTATGCATGTGCATGTGCATGCATGCATTGGTCCTGGAGCTTGAACTCAGGGCCTGGGCTCAGTCCCTGAATTCTTTATTTTTTTTGAGGGGGGGGGGCGGTCGTGGGGCCTGAACTCTGGGCCTGGGCGCTGTCCCTCAGCTCTTCAGCTCAAGGCTAGCACTCTGCCATCTGAGCCACAGTGCCATTTCCTTCTTTTTTCTTTTTGCTTATGTGGTGCTGAGGAATCGAACCCAGGGCCTCAGGCATGCAAGGCAAGTGCTCTACCACTGAGCCAGCTTCCCAGCCCCAGTCCCTGAATTCTTTTGCCCAGGCTAGAGCTCTACTGCTTGAGCCATAACTCTTCTGGCTTTGAACTCTGGGCTTGGGTGCTGTCCCTGTGCTCTTCAGCTCAAGGCGAGCACTCTACCGCTTGAGCCACAGCATCACATCCAGTTTTCCAGTAGTTTTATTGGAGATAAGAATCTCACGGAGTTTCCTGCCCAGGCTGGCTTTGAACCACAATCCACAGATCTCAGCCTCCTGAGTAGCTAAGATTACAGGCGTGAGCCACCGGCGCCCAGCTTCTTCTGGCTTTCTTGGTGGTTCATTGGAGATAAGAATTTCCCAGACTGTTTCTTGCACAAGACTGGCTTTGAACTACCATCCTCAGATCTCAGCCTCCTGAGTAGCTGGGATGATAGGCGTGAGGCACCAGTTGCTGGTTGTGATTGAGGTTCAGTTGGTAGAATGAAGCTAAGTCTGGCTGGAGGTTAGAGCCCAGGGGCTGGTGGAGGAGGGATGGACACAGATCCAGGGGCTGGTGGAGGAGGGATGGACACAGATCATGGAGTACGAAGTGGGAGCTGGACCCAGCTGGTGAAGGACTCTGCTTAGTTTTCTGGACTGGAGGAAGAGTCCTTACCCCACCCTGGGCCAGTTTTAAGATCAGGCGCGCAGCCAGTGTAGAGAATGGATGGGGCAGGGCTTGGGGCAGGAAGTGCCAGCTCCTTGGGAGGCTGAGGTAGTAATCCAGAAGACTGGATGACAACTAGTCTAAGCAGCAGTTGGGACACAGTGGTTAGATTCCAAAGAATGTAGATTAAGGGAAGGGGCTGTCCAGGGCATGGACTGAACACATAGGGAGTAAGGGAGAGGAAAGTAAATTACTAGACAAGCCAGACGCTTGTGGCTCCTGCCTGTTAATCCCAGCTACGCAGGAGGCTGAGATCTGGGGATCACTGTTGGAAGCCAGCTCAGGGAGGAAAGTCCATGAGACTCTTTTTTTTTCTTTTTTTGGGAGGGGGTCCGGTCGTGGGGTCTGAACTCTGGGCCTGGGCGCTGTCCCTCAGCTCTTCAGCTCAAGGCTAGCGCTCTACCACTTGAGCCACAGCACCACTTCTGGCTTTTTTTTCTTTTTGCTTATGTGGTGCTGAGGAATCGAACCTAGGGCCTCAGGCATGCAAGGCAAGCGCTCTACCACTGAGCCACCTTCCCAGCCCTCCATGAGACTCTTATCTCCAGTTGATCATCAAAAAGCTGGAAGTGGATCTGGGGCTCAAATAGTAGAATGTCAGAATTGAGACGAAAGGCTAAGGTCACAGTGGCCGGGTTCAGAGTTCAAGCCCCAGTATTGGTGCGCACGCACATGCGCACACACACACACACACACACACACACTTGAAGAAATATAGAAATGGTTTTAGCATGAGTCCATTTCACAGAAAGAGTGACTGCCCAGAGTTACAGGATTAGACTAAACTGGGGTGAATCAGCCTCTTGGCTCTCAGTCACCACACTAGTGCTGGACAGCCACCCTTTGGTGGGTTTTGGTTACACACATGCCAAGCTCACCCTCTCCACATCCTTCACCTCTACACAAGGAGGCCTGGGCCCTTTCTGTTGATCTAGCTGGGGTCTGCATGCACCCTCCCCCACTTCATTCCTTGCCCTCCAGTCCCCTGAGGTACAGCCACCGGATTGGAGGTAGAATCCCAGATGCAGAACAGATGTTATTCTCAGGCACACCCAGCGCTTCCAGTTCCCCGGGGGGTTTGGGGGAAGCTCTGAGCAAGAGGACCCCAGCCTGGTTAGAGGGCCCTAATGGGGGCTTAGAGGGGCCCGAGAAGGAAACCAGAGAGGATGTCCTGGGGACCAACATGCTGTCTTCTGTCAGCTACTATTGTCTTCTTGCTGAATTTAATTAACTAATTAATTAGGTAATTAATTAATTTTGGTACCAGTCCTGGGACTTGAACTCAGGGCCTGGGCACTGACCCTCAGCTCTTCAGCTCAAGGCAAGCACTGTACCACTTGAGCTACAGCGCCACTTCCTTTTTTTTCTTCTTCTTCTTCTCAAGGCTAGTACTCTACCACTTGAACCATAGCTCCACTTCCGGCTTTTCGGTAGTTCCTTGGAGATGAGAACTTTATTACCCTAGCTGGCTTTGAACTATACTCCTCAGATCTCAGCCTCCTGAGTAGCTAGGATTATAGACAAGAGCTACCAGTACCTGGCTTCTTACTGGATTTAGAGACTAAGCATCTTCTGGACGTAGAGACCCTGAGGTCACTGGAATTGGGGAAACTGAGGATCTGTAGCTTTCTTAGGTAAGTTGCTCATTAGTTCATCCCAGGGCTCTGAAATGTATGCAGAGTATGGCAGGAGAGACAAAAATCAAGCCCCAGGAGCTGTCCCTTAGGTTTTTGGCTGAAGGCTAGTGCTCTACCACCTGAGCCACAGCTCCACTTAAAGCCTTTTGGTGGTTCATTGGAGATAAGAGTCTCACAGACTTTTCTGACCAGACAGGCTTTGTTTTTTTCCGGTCGTGGGGCTTTAACACTAGGACTGGGCATTGTCCCTCAGCTGTTCAGCTCAAGGCCAGTGCTCTACCACTTGAGCCACAGCACCACTTTTAGTTTTCTGATGGTTTATTGGAGATAAGAGTCTCACAGCCTTTCCTGCCTGGGCTGGCTTTGAACCTCAATCCTCAGATTTCAGCCTCCAGAGTAACATTACAAGCATGAGCTTGGCCAGGTCCTATTATTTTTTTATAGATAAGGCTTGGAGGGGCTGGGAAGGTGGCTCAGTGGTAGAGCGCTTGCCTTGCATGCCTGAGGCCCTGGGTTCGATTCCTCAGCACCACATAAGCAAAAGGAAAAAAAAGCCGGAAGTGGTGCTGTGGCTCAAGTGGTAGAGTGCTAGCCTTGAGCTGAAGAGCTGAGGGACAGTGCCCAGGCCCAGAGTTCAGGCCCCCAAAAAAATAAATAAAAATAAGGCTTGGCAATGGGTTCCATGTCTTCATGTGTGTGTGTGTATGTGTGTGTGTGTGGTTTTTCTGGACAGATTCTTCTTGTGTAGCCCAAGCTACAGGCCTCACATTCCTGATCCTTCTACCTCTGTCTCCCAAGTGTGGGGTTGCCAGCCTTGTGCTGGCTCAGTTTCGTGTCATTTTAGTGTGTCTTGGCATGTCCACTTGTAATTTTAGCTGCTCAGGAGGCTGAGATCTGCGGATTGAGATTCAAAGCCAGCCCAGGCAGAAAAGTCCATGAAAGGGGCTGGGAATGTGGCTTAGTGGTAGAGTGTTTTCCTAGCATGCATGAAGCCCTGGGTTAATTCCTCAGTAAAAAGCCAGAAATTGAGCTGTGGCTCAAGGGGTAGAATGCTAGCCTCGAGTAAAAGAAGCTCAGGGACAGTGCCTATTTCCTGAGTTCAAGCCCCAGGTCTGGCAAAAAAAAAAGTCCATGAAACCTGGTCCTCTGAGGGGACCAAGACATGGGCAAGTCACACCAGCATTGCAGAAGAAGGAGGACCAAGACCTTCCCAGCATTCCTTCCACCTGTTGGTGGGAGGGGCCTAGAGTGGGAAGGGCTAATGGAAGAAACTGACTAATGGAAGAAAGTGGATGGTGCTGCTGCCAAAAGTGTGTGTGTGTGTGTAGAATTGCCCGAGGCTAGTGTTCTACCACTCGAACCACACTTCCACTTTGGGCTCTTTGGGTAATTGGACTGGCTTCGAACTGCGATCCTCAGATCTCAGTTTCCTGAGTAGCTAGAATGACAGATGTAAGCCACCGGCACCAGGCAGCTCCAGTTATTTTTGAGCTAGGATCTTGCTTTTGGCTTCGGCCATCCTGGACCATGATTCTGCCATATGCTTCCCGCCACTGCTCAGATGACAGGTGCACACGACTACGCCCAGCGCCCAGCATTTCTCGGTTGAAACTGGGGTGGGGGTGGGAGAGAGGGATGTCTCACAAACGTTCTCGGCCAGGGCTGGCCTGGAACCACCATTCTCCTGATCATAGACTCCCACCTAACTGGTATGCTGGTGCACCCCACTCAGCTATTGGTTAAGATGGGGTGGGGGGTATCTTGTGAACTTTTCACCCAGATTGGCCTGCAGCCAGATCTCAGTGTCTCCAGGAGCTCAGGTTACAAGTGTGAGCCACTGGTTCCAGCCCTCCCCCCCACATTCAAGGGCAATTCTCATCTTGATGCTGGATTCACTTGCTTAAAAAGTTAAAGGACAGTTTTCTGTCTCCTAGAAAGAAAGGCCAATTTCTCCCCCCTCCCCCATCTGTAAAAGGAAGACCTCAGGTTTTGCTGACATGTCCATTCCAATGGGCTCAAGCCTGTAATCCTCGCTCCTCTGGAGGCTGAGATGGGAGGATCCCTGTTTGAAAGCTAGCCTGGGTAGGAAAATGGCTGAAGGCACGTTGCAGCTGCTCTCTGAGGGAGACCCTGTTCGTGCTGCATTCTGATTCCCTCTTGCTTTCCCTGTTCTGCCTTGCTGGGCTCCTTGGAGGTGGCAAAGCCAGACATCTGCTGATCTATGAATATTCAGAAAGGGAATTGAAGCTCTTCTGGACTCCCCAGCCAGCCGCCCGGCCCTGGCTGCAGTTCTGGTCCTGCCTGCCAGAGCCCAGGGTGCTGACATACCCAGCAGCTGCTAGGGCCCCAGTGTTCACATTGTTTGTTCAGCCCAGCAGGGGATTTTCCAAGCCCTGGACAGGCTTTCAGGAGCGGGAGGGTTCAGGGATTCATGTCATGTGGGGCTTTTTTTTTTCCTCCCCTAAAACCTAAGCCAACTGTTCTGTGGCTGGACTTGGGGTATTTGGGGCTGAGAGCCTGGTGTGGCCTTCCCCCAACCCAGAGTATGCATCACGAAATCTAAGGCCTTAGAAATAGAAAGGACTGCATTCTCTTGTAAACTGAGGCCCTCAGTTTAATTCCTTACCACCTCCCCCCCAAAAAAAATCTCTCTCTCTCTCTCTCACACACACACACACAACGAATAAGTTTGGTGCCAGTGGTTCATGCCTATAATCTTAGCTACCCAGGAGGTTGGGATCTGTGGATCGTGACTCAGAGCTGGAAGCTGAGGCGTGGTTTTACAAGGGTACCAGCGTCGAGGGGAAAAGCAGAGGGACAACACTCAGGCCCTGAGTTCAAGCCCTGGTTACCAGCACCAAACAAATCAATAGGAAGTGTTTTCTAATTTCCTAGCCCTTCTGCTTTTTGAGGGTCCCATATGTCTCTCTGGCAGCTGGGACTTGCCACCTGAGGAATAAAAAGTCATCTCTAAAATCTGAGGCTCACTGTTTGAAGCCAGCTTGGGCAGGAGAGTCTGGGAGATGTGTATCTCCTGTTGACAGGGGGGAAAAAAATGCTGGAAGTGGAGCTGTGGCTCAAGTGGTAGAGCACTAGCCTTGAGCGAGATCGCTTTGGGTCAGTGCCCAGGCTCTGAGTTCAAGCCCTAGGAGGTCTCAGGACAGAGGAGGAGAGAGAGATTGGGTCACTGAGTGTCTATGGGTTGGGGTGTTAGCAGATCAGCCTGTGGAAGAACCAAGCATTTCTCTGTGAGTAATGGTGACTGACCCCCACTGAAATGTAGATTAAGGGACTCAGCTTTCCCTTCTGTGGTTTTGCCTAACCCTGGGAGGCATTCTTTCCTCCATCTTCCCTCCACTCAGGCTCTTCCTCTGTGTGGGTCAGGACACCCAGGAACTGCCCCCTTTCTGGCCTTGCAGATGGTAGCTGCCAGCAGGAACATTTAACTTTTCCAGTCTCCTGAGCAGAAGCAGCCGCTGGCTCTGGAACTCAGTCCCATGGAGTTTGCTCTGAATCCAACTCAGTCTAGGTCCTATCTCCATGGGCAGGGCCTACTTAGCTCTTCCATAATCATCAGCTAGGACATTTATTATTATTATTATTATTATTGTCGGTTGTGGGGCTTGAACTCAGGGCCTGGCCACTGTCCCTGCGTCTTTTTGTTCAAGGCCAGCACTCTACCACTTGAGCCACTGTGCCACATCCAGCTTTTTTTTTTTTTTTGGTAGTTTATTGGAGATAAGAGTCTTATGGTAGGCTGGGAAGGTAGCTCAGTGGTAGAGCGCTTGCCTTGCATGCCTGAGGCCCTGGGTTCGATTCCTCAGCACCACATAAGCAAAAAGAAAAAAGCCGGAAGTGGCGCTGTGGCTCAAGTGGTAGAGCGCTAGCCTTGAGCTGAAGAGCTGAGGGACAGCTCCCAGGCCCAGAGTTCAGGCCCCACGACTGGACCCAAAAAAAAGAAGAGTCTTATGGCCTTTCCTGCCTGGGCTGGCTTTGTACCACGATCCTCAGATCTCAGCCTCCTGAGTAGCTAGGATGACAGGTGTGAGCCACTAGCACCCAGCTGTACAGGATTTTTCTTACCCCCAAAAAGAGAATTCACCAAGCGCTGGTTCAAGGCTCAGGACTGGCACAAAGAAAAATAAAGAGACCTCATGCTCAAAAACAGTCACTCCTCCTCTTCTCCCACAGCCCCTGGCGATCAGTCATCTCCTCTGTGTTGTGGTAGACGTGTCTGTTCTGAACACTTCGTGGAAGCAAGAACATGCAAATGGGCATTTAGTGACTGGTCTAGGGTGTTCAAGGTTCATCCACAAGAGAGCACCAATCAGTTCTTCACTCATTTGGCTGGCTCAATAACATGCTTTTCTGCTCATCGGGTGAAGAATGGTTGGGTTGTTTGGGACATCATGAATAATGCTGTTGTATCCTGGATCCTTTTCATGGGGGGGAAGAAGTTGAACAGCAACGAGTGTCACAGGTGCATCAGGCACAGTGGCTCACGCCTGTATAATCCCTGTTACTCAGGAGGCAGAGATCCCATCTCTGACTCAGTGGCTCAGGAGCAGGGAAGACGCACACTGATAGCTCTGCTGCCTCCTCCTCTCCCCAGGGGAGCTGCCCACACCACAGGAGACAACCATAGAGCTGAGCTGCGCTGCGGGGCCATTGCAAGTGATCCTGGGCCCAGACCAGGCCGCCATATTGGACTGTAGCCTGGGGACTGCCGCCACTGGACCCGCCAACAAGGTGACCTGGAGCAAGGATGGGCACACCGTCATGGAACACGACCACCTACGCCTGCTCCCCAACGGCTCCCTGTGGCTGTCCTGGTCTTTGGCAATGGCTGATAGAGATGAAGAAGCAGCTGGGGAGTTCAGCGCCATTGAAGGCAGTTATTCCTGCCTGGTCCATGGCCCTCTCGGAGTGATTGCTAGCCAGGCTGCAGTGGTCAAGCTTGCCAGTAAGTACCTGAATCTAGGGTTACCATGCTGAGACCAGGAGAGGTATGCAATTAGCTCCCTGCACAAACGCCCTCCTCTTTTTTTTTTTTTTTGGCCAGTCCTGGGCTTGAACTCAGGGCCTAGGCACTGTCCCTGAGCTTTCTTTTGCTCAAGGATAGCTCACACCTGTCATCCTAGCTACTCCGGAGGTTGAGATCTGAGGATCAGGGTTCAAAGCTAGCCTAGGCAGCAAGGGCTGTGAGACTCTAACCTCCAATTAACCACCAAAATGCTGGACATGGAGCTGTGGCTCAAATGGTAGAGCCTTGAGCTCAGGGACAGCGCCTAGGCCCTGAGTTCAAAGCCCCAAGACTGGCACACACATGTACAAAAAGGATCAGCCCAGGAGCTTGTGTCCATACACAGGAAAGTGAGTGGACCCCACCCCATCCCCGCATCCCCCCACCCCCCTGCTATCACTTGGGGCTATCAGTAGGCACTAAAACCACCATGACTGGGGCAGGGAAACCATGAAGTGCACTCTGCCAGTGGTCTAACCTGTAATCAAGGGTTTGGATTCTTTAGCTATTTCTTTCCAATTGCCGCTGTCCTGACCCCTAGCACTGGAAGATTTTTCTCTACACCCGGAGTTTCAGACGGTGGAAGAGAATGGGACAGCTCGGTTCCAGTGCCACGCTGAGGGGCTGCCGGCACCTGTTATTACCTGGGAGAAGGATCAGGTGACATTGCCTGAAGAGCCTCGGTGAGTGTTCTGGGGAAGGGGGGAGGTGCATCTCCAAGCCACACATACCTTGGCAGAAAACAGCCCTATGACTGCTGGGAGAATTTTTCTTTTCTCTCCCACCCTCCCTCCCTCTCTTCCTCTCTCTCTTCCTTCCTTCCTTTTTCCTTCTTCCTCCCTTCCTTCTTTCTTTCTTTTTTTTTTTTGGGGGGGGGGAATGCGGTCCTGTGGCTTGAATTCAGGGCCCAGGCATTGTCCCTGAGCTTTCGTGTTCATGGCTAGCGCTCTACCACTTGAGCCACAGCGCCACTTCTAGCTTTTGGGTAGTTAATTGGAGATCAGAGTCTCACAGACTTTCCTGCTCAGGCTGGCTTCAAACCACAGTCTTCAGATCTCAGCCTCCTGAGTAGCTAGGTACCTGGTGTCTGGCTTTTCTTGTTTCTTTTTGTTTCCTTTATTGAAAAATTATTTTATTGTAAAGATGCTGTACAGAGGGGTTACAGTTACACGAGTAAGGTAATGAGTGCATCTCTGGTCAAACATTGTTACCCCTCCTTTTTTGTTTCCTTTTTGTGTCCATACTGGGGCTTGAATTCAGGGCCAGAGTATTGCCCCTCGGTTTTTTTTTTTTTTTTTTCACTCAAGGCGGATGCTCTACCATTTGAACCAGAGCTCCACATCTTGTTTTTTTGCAGGTTCACTGGAGATAAGAGTCTCATGGACTTTTCTTCCAAGGCTGGTACATAATAGATAAGATGTAAGATGTGTAAGATATTACTAGGCACTGGTGGCTCACACCTGTAATCCTAGCTACTCAGGAGGCTGAGATCTGAGGATCGAGGTTCAAAGCCAGCCCAGGCAGGAAAGTCCATGAGACTCTTATCTCCAATAAACCGCTAGAAAACTGGAAGTGGCGCTGTGTCTCAAGCGGTAGAGCGCTCTCCTTGAGCTGAAGAGTGCAGGGACAGCACCCAGGGCCAGAGTTTAAGCCCCACAACCGACCAAAAAAAAAAAAAAAGACTCTTGTCTCCAAATAACCATTCAAAAACTGGAACTGGTGCTGTGGCTCAAGTGGTAGAGCACACTAGCCTTGAGCACAAAGAGGCTCAGGGACAGCACCCAGGTCCTGAGTTCAAGCCCACGACTGACATAGAAAGAAAAAAAAGAAAAAGAAAGAAATGATATTATTATCTGGAGTGTTAAATGAAGAAACTGAGGATTAGATACAGGCCTCTCCCAGGTGGGAATCGGGGGTTGGGTAGAAGAAGCTGCAGGACTTGAAGAAGTTTGTGCTGAAGGTGGGCTTAGAGTTTGGGAGCCTAACTTGTATTAGCTCAGAGCAACAAAGCAGTGGGGTTCAGAGTTCCCCTCCCAACATCTAATTCAAGCAGCTGCCCACAGAGCCACAGGCCTCGCCCACAGAGCCACAGGCCTTGCCCACACAGATGGAAGCTGCCAGTTCCTGGGTTCTGGGAATGTTTGCCCCCAAGTTCTCTGAAAAGCAATCCTCATCTATAAATAAGCCAGGCTCACATGCCCCAGCACATTGTGTGAGGGAATAAAGAAATGTTGAAAACAGCAACTTGATGATGGCCAAGGTATGTATTTTTACACATGTCCAGATATAGTACATGTGCAACTATGCTAGTCATAAACTCAGCTCAGTGATTGGAATGAGACCATATGCCTTGATGTCGGCCTATGTGCACACACACACTCTGTCAGGGAAGAGGGGCCGATAGTTACAGCCTCTAATGGTGATTAGACCCCAAAGCAATTCCTTGGTACTTAACACTAATTTCTAATAAGAGGAAATAATCTGGGGATCATTTTTCTTCAGTGAAAACTAGCAATCAGCCAGGAGCTGGTGGTTTATGCCTGGAATCCTAACTACTCAAGAGGCTGAGATCTGTGGTTCACACCTAGCTTGGGCAGGAAAGGCTGTGAGATTCTTAGCTCCAATTTACCCCCAAAGAAACTAGAAGTGAAGCTGTGGCTCAAGTGATAAAGGCTAGCCTTGAGCGCAAAAACTCAAAGACAGCACCCAGGCCCCAGAACTGGCACACACACACACAAAAGAAGATAACCAGGGGCTGGGAAGGTGGCTCAGTGGTAGAGCACTTGCCTTGCATGCCTGAGATCCTGGGTTCGATTCCTCAGCACCACATAAGCAAAGAGAAAAAAGCCGGAAGTGGCGCTGTGGCTCAAGTGGTAGAGTGCTAGCCTTGAGCTGAAGAGCTGAGGGACAGTGCCCAGGTCCAGAGTTCAGGCCCCACTACTGACCAAAAAAAAAAGAAGATAACCAGCAATCATTGTTCCCCCAAATTCCAGCTATTCACAGCCACATTGTGGCTTCAACTAGTATTTATACCATTTGCACAACCAATTCTTTTCTTTACACCAACTTTATGTATATTTAAAAAATATTAATAACCAGGAACTGATGGCTCACATCTGTAATCCTAGCTATTTAGGAAGCCAAGATCTGAGGACCAATCCTGAGCAGAAAAGTTAGTGAGATTCTTATCTCCATTTAACCAGCAGGTAACCGGAAGTGCTGTTGTTGCTCAAAGTGGTAGGGTACTAGCTTTGAGGGAAAGACTCAAGGAAAGAGCTCAGGCCCTGATTTCAAGCCCTACAACCTACAGAAAACAAAAACAATTACAAGTATAGGTATGGCTGAAGTGGTAGAGCATCAGCCTTGAGTGAAAAAGCCAAGCAAGAAAGCATGTTCAGGGGCTGGGAAGGTGGCTTAGTGGTAGAGTGCTTGCCTCACATACATGAAGCCCTGGGTTCGATTCCTCAGTACCACATACACAGAAAAAGCCAGAAGTGGCGCTGTGGCTCAAGTGGTAGAGTGCTAGCCTTGAGCAAAAAGAAGCTCAGGGGTAGTGCCCAGGCCTAGAGTTCAAGCCCCAGGATTGGCGAGAGAAACACAAAAGAAAAAGAAAGGAAGGAAGGAAGGAAGGAAGGCAGGCAGGCAGGCAGGCAGGCAAGCTCAAGCCCCAGTAACGACACACACACACACACACACACACACACACACACACACACACACTTCCTTCCTTTGTCCACACACACACACACACACACACACACACACACACACACACACTTCCTTCCTTTGTCCAGCCTTCCAGAATCCATTGTCAGCCTCATGTACCCTCAGTTAGAATTCCGTTGTCCTAGATAGATCTCTCCAAGGGCTTGGTGGGTGGGGTGGGGTGGGGTGGTAGCTGTTAGGAAAATCAGAATCCTTGCAATATTTCTTTTGTTGTTGGTTGGTAGTGGTGGTTGAGGGGCTTGAACTTGGGGCCTGGGTACTGTCCCCGAGCATTTTTGCTCAAGGCTAGCACTCTACCCCTTGAGCCACAACGCCACTTCCAGTTTTCTGGTGGTTAATTGGAGATTAGAGTCCTAATGGACTCTCTTGTCTGGGCTGGCTTCTAACTATGATCCTCAGATCTCAGCCTCCTGAGTCGCTAGGATTACAGGCGTGAGCCACCAGCGCCTGACTGCATTTCTTTCATTAGGAGCCGCCCTCGGGTGGTTCCCTCGAACCTCACAGTCACCCTCTCTTTTTTCCCCAAAGGCTCATCACTCTTCCCAATGGCGTCCTCCAGATCCTGGGTGTTCAGCAGAGTGACACGGGCTCCTACCGCTGTGTGGCCACCAACGCAGCCCGCCAGCGTTTCAGCCTTGAGGCCCCACTCAGTGTGGTCCACAGAGGTAACGAAGGAGATGAGCTGGTGGGAAATGGGAGGGTTCCTGGAGCCAGCCATGCTAGAGCAGAAAGCTGCAAGAGGTCCAGGCCCAGCCTGCAGACAGGTGACGGGGTCTAAGTCCTATTGAACAAGTGAAGCAATGAAGTCCAGACAAAGCAATGTCACCAAGCCACTAGGGCTGGAGCCACAGACTCTGACTCTTTGTGTAGGGTTCTCTTTTCCTGCAGAGTTTCTGTGTCCCCTTGGGTAGGATGGGGAGTGATGAGAAGGTCAGTTGTTTGAGGAGGGCTGTCAGAGCCCTCCAGTCCTGTCCTCTGCCCCTTGTGCTCCTACCCTGGTGTGTATCCTGTTGTCCAGACATTGGGGGATTTACCCATGCTGCTTGCTCTGCAGTAGAAATCTAGCTCCCTGGCTGATGCTCCTATTCTCTCCCCTGCTTTCCCCCCCCCCTTTGTTGATCATGGGGCTTGAACTCAGGGCCTGGGTACTGTCCCTGAGCTCTTTTGCTCAAGGTTAGCACGCTACCACTTTGAGCCACAGCACCACTTCCGGTTTTCTGGTGGTTCATTGGAGATCAGAGTTTCATGGATATTTCCTGGCCAGGCTGGCTTTGAACCACGATCCTCAGATCTCAGCCTCCTAAGTAGCTAGGGTTACAGGCGTGAGCCACCAGTGTCTGGTCTGGCCTTCTCTTTCTTTGAAAAGTGCCTGCCCTGGTGTAACAAGATGAGAAAGAGCACCAGCTTTGAGGTCAGAAAGACCTGGTTTGAGTCCTAGCTCCGCTGCATAACCCTGGCACCTGTTATTAAATGTCCAGCCCAGAGAGATTACAATAATAACTGAGAATGGAAAATGCTTGCTAGATCTCTCTTTAAGCTCCTCTCTCTTCCAGGGTGCTCTCTTGCCTCCTGGTCTCTCTCCCCCCGCCCCCCCAACCCATGCTGGCTTTCCCTTGGGTTATAAGCTGCTCTGCTCATCCCAGAGGGCCTAACTCTCCCTCCTGCAGGGCTCTCTCCCTCCACCTACTGGACAAACCTGATATTCGCCATCATGCTGTAGACAGTGAGGGTCACCAGGAGAACTTGGCAGGGAATCAGGGTTCAGGGAGCTGCAGTTCTGGCAGCTTTTTTTCCACAAAGAAGCCCAGGGTCCTTTGAGGGGAGAGACTTGCCTAAAGCCTCACAGTGTGGCTGGAACTAGTAACTAGAAGTGCTGGGTGTAGCTATGGATTTGTCCAGCCATTTCTCTGGTGTGGTGTCAGAGACCATTCTTCTAGTTCTGTTTTGTTTTGTTTTAATGTCTTTTTTTGGTTTTTTGTTTGTTTGTTTTTGGATCCGTCATGGGGCTTGAACTCAGTGCCTGGGCCCTGTCCCTAAGCTCCTTTTTGCTCAAGGCTAGCACTCTACCACTTTGAGCCACAGCTCCACTCCCGATTTTCTGGTGGTTAACTTGGGATCAGAGTCTCACAGACTTTCCTGACCAGGTTGGCTTTGAACTACCATCCTCAGATCTCAGCCTCCTGAGTAGCTAGGATTACAGGCATGAACCACCAGCGCCCCGGCTCATTCTTCTGGTTAAAGAACCCTGAATTCCAATCCCAGCTCTACTGAACTTGGTGTTTACTTTCCTTATCTATCAGATGGATCCATGGCTGTCTCTGCTCCCCTTGGCCACTGGGAGCCTCAGGTGAGGTACCATGGCATGGTAGCAGAGCACCAATGCCTCATACCTGTAATCCTAATCTCAGGAGGCTGAGATCTGAGGATCACAGTTCAGAGCGAGCCTGGGCAGGAAAGCCCATGAGACTCTGATCTCCAATTAACTACCAGAAAACCAGAAGTGGGGCTGTGGCATCAAGTGGTAGAGTGCTAGCCTTCAGTGCAAAAGCTCAGGGACAGTGCCCAGGTCCTGGGTTCAAGCCCCACGATCAACAAACGCAACAACAACAAAATGTCTCAGGTAAAGTTACCCACTGGCCTGTCTTCTCTCCAGGTTCCCTGACGGCCACCAGGGGGCAGGATGTGGTCATCGTGGCAGCCCCGGAGAACACCACTGTGGTGTCTGGGCAGAGCGTGGTAATGGAATGTGTGGCTTCTGCCGACCCCACTCCTTTTGTGTCCTGGGTCCGACAAGGTATGTGAAGAAGGAAGGGCAGGAAAACATCACCAGGCCTGGAAAAGGATGGTGTAGTATTCAGGGGTCCCCAGGTCAGGGAGCAGGATGGGTGATCACTCCGTGTGTCCTAGCCTGGCTGTGGTGGATAGCAAGATCAGGTCTGGATGGGAGGAAATGGACTAACTTACCGCTAATGACGGCACTTTGGGCCTTCCACTCACAAAAAGCCTGGACTCAGCCCTGAGGGTGGGAGATGGGCTGTGGTCTTACTTCTGTTCTTCCCAACAGTGTTAAAGGTGTTTGAGGGCCAGGAAGGTGCCATCCAGCTCTGGGTCTGGTCCCCAGCAATGACAAAAGGAAAAAAAGTCTTAACCAGGCACAGGTGGTTCACACCTGTCATCCTAGCGACACAGGAGGCTGAGATCTGAGGATCACAGTTCAAAGCCAGCCAGGGTGGTAAAAGTCTGTGAGACTCTCATCTTGAATTAACCAGCAGAAAAGCTGGAAGTGGAGCTGTGGCTCAAGTAGTAGAGCACTTTGAGGGGAAAAAAAAAAAAAAAACTAAGGGAGATTGCCCAGGCCCTGAGTTCAAGCCCCATTACTGGTGTGTGTGTGTGTGTGTGTGCGTGCGCGCACACACACACACACACACACAAAGACTCTGGCCAGTCTAATCTTCACAGTAGTTGGCTAAGAGCACAGGGTAAAGTCTGTCTACTCAAAAGAAGTCAATTTGTTTTTTTGTTTTTTGGGTTTTTTTTTTGGGTCCGGTCGTGGGGCCTGAACTCTGGGCCTGGGCACTGTCCCTCAGCTCTTCAGCTCAAGGCTAGCACTCTACCACTTGAGCCAC